AGCCCAGAATTCTACATCCTGCTAAGCTAAGCTTTAAAATTGACAGAGAAATCAAATAATTTACTGATATACAAACATTGAGGAAATTCGCCACAATAAAGCCAGCCGTACAGGAAATACTTCAACCTGTTCTATACACTGACCATCACAATGGATCAACAGCAAAGTAAGAACTCAGAAATTAAATGACAGAACCTAACTTCCACAATGATGCAAAAGATAAAACTAAGCAATGGACTCTCATAAAATAAGATGAATAGAACACTAGGACACTTATCAATTATCTCAATAAATGTTAATGGCTTGAATTCCCCACTGAAAAGGCATAGATTGGCTGACTGGATTAAAAAACAGAAGCCATCCATTCTGTTGGATCAGAAAATTGATGAAACAAGGAGTTGGTTTTTTGAAAAAACGAATGAAATAGATAAATCTTTGGCCAGATTAACTAAAAATAGAAGAGTCAAATCTTTAGTAACCTCAATCTGAAGTGATGAAGGGGAAATAACAACTGATGCCACAAAGAGAGAAGAGATCTCTGAATACTACCAGAAACTCTATGCCCAGAAATTTTGACAATGGGAAGGAAATGGATCAATATTTGGAATCACACTCTCTCCCCAGACTTAGCCAGGAAGAAATAGACCTCCTCAACAGACCAATTTCAAGCACTGAAATTAAAGAAACAATAAAAAATCTTCCAACAAAAAAATGCCCTGGTCCAAATGGCTTCACACCAGAATTCTATCAAATCTTCAAGGAAGAGCTTATTCCCGTACTGCAGAAATTATTCCAAAAAATTAAGGAGGAAGAAATATTCCCCAACACGTTCTATGAAGCAAACATCACCCTGATAGTAAAACCAGGAAAAGACCCAACTAAAAAGGAGAACTTTAGAACAATTTCACTAATGAATATGGATACAAAAATTCTCAACAAAATCCTAGCCAATAGATTACAGCAGGGGTCCTCAAACTTTTTAAACAGGGGGCCAGTTCACTGTCCCTCAGACCGTTGGAGGACCGGACTGCAGGCCTGGGACGACTTGGCTGCTAAGCAGGACAGGAAGCAGCGGCAAAAACACCCGGCGGGCCAGATAAATGTCCTTGGTGGGCCACATGTGGCCGATGGGTCATAGTTTGAGGACGCCTGGATTACAGCCTGTGTAGGGTTCTGTGGCATCACAGCTCACAGCAACCTCAGACTCCTGAGTTTAAGTGATCCTCTTGCCTCAACCTCCTGAGTACCTGAGACAACAGGTACCTGCCATAACACCAGATTAATTTTTCTATTTTTAGTAGAGACAGGGTCTTGTTCTTGCTCAGGCTGGTCTTAAACTCTTGAGCTCAAATGATCTACCTGCCTTAGCTTCCCAAAGTATGAGGGTTACAGGTGTGAGCCACTGCATCTAGCCTTGTTTATTATTTAAATCAAAGTCCAAAATATTACAATCAGCCAGGCACTGTGGCTCATACCTGTAATCCTAGCAATCTCGGAGGTGGAGGCAGGAGGTTAGTTTGAACTTGGAAGTTCAAGAACAGCCTGTGCAAGAGCAAAACCCTCTCTCTACTAAACATAGAAAAATCAGCCAGGTGTCATAGCAGGCACCTGTAATCCCAGCTACTCAGAAGGCTGAGGCAGGAGGATCACCTGAGCCCAGGAGTTGGAGGCTGCAGTGAGCAATGATGATGCAACTGTACTCTAGTCCTGGTGACAGAGTAAGGTCCTGCTTCAAAAAAAAAAAGACTAGTACAGTTATTCCCAAGACAAATTTCTTTTAGGGCACACACTGACCATCAAAAGGAGTGACCCTAGAGAAGGCAACCAAG